CTGTGCGGAGGTGCGCCCGGCTGGCAGCGGGGATGGTTTGGTTTTCAGCAGGCTATTGTGCGTTCCGCTGGAGCCAGCATCTCCTCCCGTTTCTTCTTTCAAAGAGAAAGAAGTCCTTATGCTCTCAGTGTCTGTCCGAGCCTGGCCTCTGTGGTCTGCCTACAAAGGGGGCTGGTGGAGCAGGCATCCTACATTAACTCTTCGATGCGAAGTACGCTGATCACTCGGCGTTATTTTTATCAACAGCACGACCACAGTGCTGGGGTTTTATCGTCGTTATCTCAGCAGCATTGCAAAGGTTTTCAGACAGATCGCAGTGCCTGTAGTGGCAGGATCACGGTCACTTCCTGGAGTTTCTTTTTTAATATTTCTCAGACCAGCAGCACTGATTTGAAATGCAAACGGAGCCAGGAACCTGGAGGCTGCAGAAACAGCAACAGCAGCCGCGTTTCCCGGTCTGGCTGTTACATCTGCAGCTGTCAGAGATGGTACCACACATAGGGTCTGTCCCATCCCTCCTGATAGCCATCGATTGAATTTTACTGAAGCGTACACAGGTTAACTGTCACAGTGGTACAAATGAACTGATGCCAGTTAGGGGAGCCGGATGCCTTCACACCAGATTTGCTAATCTTTGGAGTCTTTAAGTGTGCTCCATCATAACAACAATCTTCAGACAAAAGATACAAGCTTAATTAAACTGAGTCAAATAGGTTTAAGCAGTTAAATAGAAACAACTTTTTAAAGTGCTTAAAATCTGTTTGCTCTTTTTTTCCCTTTGTGTTTTAATCCTTTCAGATATGTTATTGTGTATAGATAAAAATGTTTCCTGTTTAGGAATTTGCTAGCTAAAGCATTGTCATATTTTTGTGATGTTTACTAGTCAGAACATAAAATCATGTTTCTCTCTTTCTGTTAAAGTTTGCCTCTAACAGAAGAAAAACCTTGCAGACAAACCCAATAGACTGTACGAAATAAGATGGCCTATTTACTAGCAGAGGCTGTGGGTCCTGCGTGGCATCAGTTTCCCTTTAATAGATTTCATTCATTACATACCCAAAAAAGAGCCACTCAGTCCACCTCGCATGGCTTGTACAGAGCACAGCGCTTATCTTGTGGCTGTGGTGGTGCACAGGTACACACCGAGCTGGCGAGGTTAATCATGTAGATCTCTTTTATTAGATCGAAAGATACAGATGGGGAAAACCCACAAGTTCTTGGGCACTTAGCCTTTCTTTGGATGCCATATGCAAATGTATTTACATTTTCTTTTCCCTCCTGCCCATTCTGTGACTCTATCATTTTGCTGAGCAGCCAGTGACTGCCATTTTGCTGTAATTCTCAGCTCAGACAAAATGGAGGCTTTGGAGGAATCAGTAACTACCACAGCCTGTGCCTTCTAAAATTGAAGATAATTGCCTTTTATAAAAAAGGGGTAATTTTGAGGATGAAAAAAAAAAATCAGCATACCCCATCCTAAAAGGCAGAATCTCCTTTTTTCCTGTGAACACATGGGTGCAGTTGTGTTAATTTCATTGCCGAAATGTAAATATTAATGCACCTTGCACTTTGATATATTGCCATAAAAGACACTGAATTTCAAATCACCAAGCCCACTGTGTGATACAGGGATGTAACTTAGCTATTCGTCTTTATTTGAAGCAGCCCTCTTCCTAAAAGCTCACTTAGGGAGATTCCTAGTTGCCATTAGAAAAACAAAATAAAATTAATCTAAATCATTCTAACTTTAACTTAGAAAATTAATGATGGATGAAAGAGGGGGTTTATAAAGGTTTAATAACAACTAGTCTGGAATACAGTGTATATTCTAGAGGCTGCGATTATAGTGGTAATTTAGCAGATTGTATCACTACCTATCTCTGCCAAAGGATGTTTCACACCATTTAAAATGCACAGTACTCTCTTCAGAGACAGGTTGTTCTGGAATAACTCAACATCCAAAGAAAAGCCCTGTTATTTCATTCCTCTCTTTATCAATTGCATGTGTGCGATTGCTTGTGTGTGTGTCATCTTCTCCTCAGCAATAGCACTAAGTTTTTATGCTTGTTTCTGTGTTCATTTATCAGCCCCCTCAGAGACAGACAATACCAAAAATGGAAAGTCATGAAATCTATTCAGAATAGGGTTTAAGTGCTGAAACCAGAGCGCCTGTATAAAACAAAGCATGAATTGGCCCTTCCTTTAAAAGGTGAATTAAAATAAATTCGGTTTTGAACAAGTTATCCAAACTCTGAGAGCTCCTATTTGTTTCTCTTTTTGCAGAGGAACAAAACCGTGAGATAAGGACAAATCTTAGTGATTTTTTTATCCAGCAAAGGTGATTTGGGAATCTCTAGACCAAAGGGATTGAGATTTGAATAAATTGCGTGTCTGTGATGTTTCCAAGACTAAGGACGCAAGTCTCCCAGTGTGCAAAAGCATGAGCCAAGCTGATCTGTAGTTAAATTAAAGAATTTGCTGTATTTAAATTCATGCAGTGTATGATCTGACATTCCCTTTGACTTTGCTGCCTCTCTTTCTTACAGGCTGTTTGCTGCTAAGTGCAGTGGCTGCATGGAAAAGATCGCCCCAACAGAATTCGTGATGAGAGCCCTGGAGTGTGTTTACCACTTAACCTGCTTCTGCTGCTGTGTTTGCGAACGACAGCTGAGGAAAGGGGACGAATTTGTTCTTAAGGAAGGGCAGTTGCTCTGCAAAAGTGACTATGAAAAAGAGAAAGACTTGTTGAGCTCAGTCAGCCCAGACGACTCAGACTCAGGTGAGCTTTTCCCACACCTGCTCCAACTGGAAAAGCCGCAAGGGTTTGTAGAGCTTTCTTATAGAAAAGTATATCCATTTACACATCCACTTTATCTATATGCACATGCCACCCATGCAATTTAGCAGGCACAGCTAAAAAAATCCTTACTTGCAGTCTGTTCTCCCTAACTTGACTCCCTTCCTTAACTTGCTGCTTAGTAAAGGACAAAAACTTTTTGTTTTCCCCAAGGTATTTTTCTGTAAGATCACAAAATGTGAATCAGAGTGACTTCAGTTACCTGAGGCCTCATTCAAAGTGTGCTGTTTTCCATAGGCATTCTTCCATCCATTTAACATATTTTTCAGGGGATCTTCTGCACACACACTTTCAGCACTGAGCTAGGAAAAGTAGTAATATTATTTTCAAGAGTATTCTCTCTGCCAATCACAAATAGTAACTTTAAGAAAAACTACAACACAGAAGTACTGAGGAGAATCTGAAGGAAATTGAGAAGTGGGTTTGTGCTGCAGCAATAGCATGTGCAGTGCAGGAAGCCAGGGCGGCTGCCTGCATATCCACTCCCGTTAAGGCAGGTGAGGGGACTCACACAAGAAGAAAAATAAAAAGCAGTAACTTGAATGAGGAGTTTAGGGGAGCCTGTGTCTGGATCCTTTCAGGCCAGGTACAATGCTTGGTTCTCCTGACTTCCATCCAGACTTCTCCCTGCTGGTATGTCTCTTCTGTGCTACTCAGGCTCTAGTTTCTGATCATCTCTGTTGCCTACCTGCTATTTTGTGCCTGAGCACCATTCTGGTGCCAGCCTAGGAGATCATCTATGTGTTGTCCCAAGGATAGCTCCACTAAGGTTTGTATGCTACATATAGTACAGAAGTGAAACATGCAAAGTTTGCCTGTTACAGATCTCCAGGAGTGTCCTTGAGGTCCTGCGCTGTTCCTGATGAATGCAAACTGTTTAGGATCAAGGGACAACAGGCTTGACATCTTACTAAAATGCACTACTACTAATCTGCGGTGTGACCTCCCTCTTCAGAGGGACCTGGGGTTTGAACAGTATGATTGCAAGAGTCTGCACCACTTGGCCTGGGAGTTAAGGCAGAGGGTCACCACACTGTGACCAGAGCTTTTGCCTGCTCCTGAAGACGACAGTGGAGCCCTCACACCTGGTAGCAGCTGATGGGTGTCTTCCCTGAGTTCTTCACAGTGATGGAGAGACAAATACTTCCTTTCCTCCACCCATTTCCTAGGGAAGGTTTTAAAAGAGAGTGAGCAAAAGCTGCTTGCTGTCTGTCCAGGACTGGAAACACAGTACTGCACAGGACAAGTAGTTCATACAGTGGATTTGGGTTCTGCAGTCCAAAACCCAGGGGATCTAGCAGTGGTTACAGTGAGGACTGGCTTTCAGGCTCACAGACAGTTCCAGGAGAGATGGGATGCCTCCTTCCTCTGCCATATGCACTCAAGGAGACTGGAAACCTGCTGCTGCCGGTGTGCCCTGGCTGATAGCAAGGCTAGAGACAGCATGTACACAAATTGCTGCTAGCCATCACAATTGCACACTTGTTTCCCAAGAAAATGTCTAAGAAAATCAACAATTACCATTCCATTAAGCGTACAAATGACATGAATGTTTGCCTCTGGTTTATGGGAAAATGCATTATTCCAATTTAGCTAGGAGCAGTAATTATCCTTAATCTCTAATCTGAGCGCCATATTCTCCACATTGCTGAAATTTATATTTTCGTGTCAGGAATGCTGCAAGACAAAGGTCACGGCTGAGTCAGCAGGACGTGTGGGACTGGGGCCTTTCTTGGAGCAGCATGTTATTTATTGCCATACTGTATTTGCAGGACCTTGAGCGCTCTTCTCTGTAAATCTCATGTTGCAGGGTTTGGGCTCTTTGTGAATTTGCCCGAGGCATGTGAGTTTCCTACTTGCCCTTCAGTGTGTCATTCTCTCATCGCCAACTTCAACATCCTGCTGTCCGCCTGTCTATGTCCAGACAAACCCCCTTTGAAAAGCTGCATGTGCAGGGCAGTCCCCATGCTGCAGCAATGGGCATGGGGACCCTGCTCCCCTGCCTTCCTTACTCACTGCGCGGGCACTGGTGGCTGCTATTTGCCAGCTGGCTGCATTTGAGATCTGCTTTGGGCACAGCTGGGATCTCCTTCAGGACCAGACTTTGTATTTTCTGATCAGCAGTAAGCTACCACAGCAGCACAAAACAACCTTGGTTTCAATTTCATTTCCCCTTGGCACAAGGGGTAGGTTCTTACTCCTGGAGATGCTTTTTTCCCCTCATTATTCTCTGTTAGCCAAACCCAAACCTGAAAAACAAGTTGACAAATTAAATGGGATGTTTTCTCTCCCATTGTCTAATACATTGAAAACACAGATCTCCCAGATGTCTGTGTGAGAGCAAATGATTTCACATAGCCCTGGCTGAGAATGTGTCCTTCTCCAATCAAATATTTATCCACTGGACACAAAAGTAACTCTCCAATGAGCAATATTAATCCTCACAAACCTTTCCTTAGAAATGGCATGCTGGAAAGTTAATAATGTCATGGTTATTAAAATGACTGAACTTCTCTTTAATCTTTAGGCAAAAGATGCTTATTAAAGTAAAAGGTGATTAGATTGCTAGGTGCATAATAATCAGACCCTAAAATGAATTAAAGTCTAATTTGTTAATTCCCCAAACGTAACATTCAAGTGTATAAAAATGACAGTGTGTTTCTTCATGTTGAAGTCCCTATAATAGTATATTAATGTTTTCTGGAAGAAAAATCAGTAGCCTGGTGAAATAAAATATGCTTACTTGAAAAGTTGTTTTTCACAACAAAATTTGTACTTACTCTTCAACCTCTGCCACTGTGACTGAGATTTCCCAGTACAATATACTAGCACACGTAATTGCACCAGATTCTATGAATATTCAGAATTTAACTGTAGAAAATACAAATAACCTATTTGGTCTACACAAGCACATCTATACTTGTATGTATTTAGCAAGAAAGAGAAATTTGTGCATGCACATATAGATACATTGAAATACACAGAGAAAGAATACTGACGTTTTCTGTGGGACACAGAAATGAGATGGCAAAGATTATATTTAATATTATCTCTGGAGCTTCAAAATACTCAGAACAATAACTGTAATCTACACGAGATTTAGCTAAACAGACTTTGAGATATTTTTGTGATATTTGCGTTTACACTGTTTTGCTGCCATAGCAGTGCGGGCAGTAGTACCTGTCTGCAGCGAATGCTTCAGGAGAAGATGCTGCTCTGCTGTAAAGGGAAAAGTGTGTGTCAGTCGGTGTGGTTGCACACAGGGGACCAAGCGATGCTGGAAGGGCACAAAGTCTCTCTGTACCAATTCTTGGAAACATTGAAGCATGTTCTGAATTTCCATCCCCTGATCAGTCCCATGCCCTCAATTAAAAATTAAACATATTTTTATGTTTTCATGGCATTTGATTTAGGCAGTACACACAAATCTAAGCTAGTCTCTTCCTGCCCATAGTTACTTTAGGTATTCAAATAAACATGGAATAATAGTTGAACCTGTTGGCTAGTTTGGCAGCTGAAGAGCAGTTCTTAAAACCCTGTTATCTTGGTGGAACAAGTACAATTTTATATCCTGTTTATTTTTCACCAGTTAAAAGCGATGATGAAGACGGAGATGTTAAGCCCACCAAAGGACAAGTAACCCAAGGAAAAGGAAGTGATGATGGGAAGGACCCAAGAAGACCTAAACGACCAAGGACAATACTTACTACGCAGCAGAGACGAGCATTCAAAGCATCCTTTGAAGTGTCTTCCAAGCCCTGTAGGAAGGTAGGTGCTTCATCAGGGACCTGAAGTCAGCTCTGACACCAGGCCACGGAGGTGACAGGGTCAGGCCACAGCTCCAGATATCTCCCTGCCCCTTCCCGGGACAGCAGCAGGTGCCTTGGAGTGAATACAGAAACCAGGCCAGCATGTGGCAATGCTCACCCAAGTACCATCTCAGCCTGGAGCAATCAGCAGCTTAGGACCAGCTCATTGTTATTTCTGGATATTCACCCACAGTACGTGGAGCAGCTCTATGACTGATTCCTGCTGCACAGCAATATTTGGTTCTTATAAATCATGAAGTAGTCTTTGACTGTCAGAGCCCAGGTAAACAAGTGGCTTTTGCCCTTCTCTGTCCCACCACAGAGGAAGTCACTATTTAGTGAGACGGGTGCTCAGCTTTGGTGCCACTACTTGTCCTTCCAGTCTTGCTTTTTTATGAAACTTAACCCTGCTGTTGATCTTGTTTATAGCAGCTAGGGAAAGGTATAACGTATTGCTTCACTGATGAAGCTGGTGAAAATCAAATATTTGTGAAAAGCATCCCAGATAACTGTTTCCTCCTAAGTTTGATTGGAAAAAAAAATGGAGTTGCATCCTGAAAGCTGTCAGTTTTGCAAAAAGTGACATTCTCCTTCTGACGTACCAAGTTGTGTCTTTTGGGACAGTGCAATGTGCCTTTTTGCCATTTTAAAGTATGAAATTGTACCTCAATAATATAAAAAAATGTTCATAGCCAAATTTGTATCTTTTTGCACAGAACTGTTTCATGGGTAAAATAAAAATCTTTAAACGACAGTGTCATTTTTACACAGCTCAGACTATTTGTTCAGTACTTATGAAACTAGTAGCCATATGAAGGGCAGAACTTGAACAAACTATGCAAAGATATGAGGAATTTTTAAAAGCAATTCTGTACATGCAGTTTTTAGTGTAAGTGCAGGCATATTCCTCCTAACATAACTGATCAGCTTTTTTTAAAAAATATAAAAAATTACATCATTAAACATTTCCTCCTGTAGGTCAGAGAAACACTAGCAGCTGAAACAGGACTCAGTGTGCGAGTTGTCCAGGTCTGGTTTCAAAACCAAAGAGCAAAGGTAGGTTGCTTGTCAAGTTCTCAAAAGTGAAGCGCAAATGGTCCTCCAACACAGATTTCCTCCTCCCCTTAGATGTAGTACATACCATGGAGATCCCAGGGACTGAACTGTACATATTTTGCATGCACTGGTGTCTACATCCATACAAGAAAGGCAACTTTCAAACACAGACATTAAGTTCTTGTGCTCAAAGCAACATGAGGTTGGGAGTAAATTTTGCATGCAAATATGAACTGGAAACTGAAATGTTTAAGCTTAGAAATGAAACTGAACCCACAGTGGTGTCTGCATGAATAGAAATGGTCAGTATTAATTGATTCGATGTTTGCAGAGAGTTTTGTAAGGAAACAAAATTGTTGCATTCACAGCCATGAGATTGTTCTGTTTTTCCTCTTTTATTCAGATGAAAAAACTGGCACGAAGGCATCAGCAGCAGCAGGAGCAACAAAACTCGCAGCGTCTAGGGCAAGGTAGGGGATTTGTGATGAAGGCAAAGCAAGGGAAAAAGAATCTGCCCAGTTTCTTGAAGTGCTATTCCCACATAATGTCTTAAGCACAGCCATACAGGGCATGCACAAGTCTGTGGATAATGTGTGCCATCCTCAGTGGAAACACACAGAGGTGCTGTGTCTGAGTGCCCGCCCCAGGTTATCCCAGAGTTCTCCCATGGGGCCAGCCCCTGGAGGTGCTTACACAGAAGCTGCCTCCTCCTTTCTAGAAGCGTGCAGTACAGAGGCACTTTCACTGGAGGAGATTTCCAGGAGGCTCACTCCAGGTAGATCCTCCAGTTTGCTTTCTCCTGAAGAAAGGGGGACCATGCTCAGCTCGGCATCTGCAGGCTGCTTGCAACGGCGTCAGCATCGCTGCCACAGCCAAGGCACAGGGAGCCCCTCCTGTGCCCCAGCAGCTGGGGCAGGAGCTGCACAGAGGCACCAGGGCTTGCCCTGCTGCTCTGTGGATGCTCTTGAGGTTCTCCAACTCCCAAGGCCTTGCAGCCTCAAATCCTCCTCTTTACACAGAGCCAGAAAAACTGGTACCAACAGAAGTTAGGGAATAATAGGGCTATGTCACGCACAGGACAGGCTTTGGGAAGATATGGTCCAGCACCCAAGAGCTCCAGAAATGTAGTCAGAAATTACAAGTCTTTCAACTTACTGCTCAGGGTTGTACTTTCAGACAAAATTTGGAAGGCTCCTCTGAATGATGGGACACACCTAGCTGCGTTCACTCTGCACTTGGGTTCAGTATTGCCACTGATGCTAGGGTCTGCTGCCTCTTTGTTCCTAAGCAGTGACTGTGCCCTCCTGTTTGCTTTGCAGAAGTAATGTCCAACCGAATGGAAGGGATGATGACATCTTACACACCACTTGCACCACCACAGCAGCAGATTGTAGCAATGGATCAAAGCAGTTATGGCACAGACCCCTTTCAGCAGGGTCTTACCCCTCCACAAATGCCAGGCGACCACATGAACCCTTATGGTAAGGCATGCGTCATTCTGCCTCATCAGAAATAGCAGGGTTCGTACGCTAGTTCACACACCGAAAGTTCAGTAGAGTTACTTGCTTTTATGATATCTTTTCTGGGATTTGTACCAGGGAATTTGTACCAGTCAGTTTTGTGTATATATTTTCATGTACACATAAGGGGGTAGAAGAGAGCTCATCTGAGGCTCTGGACACCCTTCAGAACTATTTCACAGTATAATTCTGATAAATGATAAACCAAGCAACATCACCTCTCAAGCTCCACTTTTTTAAACCACTATCCAAGACATTGAAAAATAAACAGTACCAAATTCTAGCTCCCTCACAAGTTTTTCCTTTTTCTTAGAAGCTTTGGGAAAAAAGTGCCTTGAAAAGTGGTCTAATAAAGAGAAGTAATCTATTCATTCCAAAATGAATAAGCACCCCTCTAAGATCCCTCAGATTGGATGCATGGATTTGTTACCACAGGACGTTTCTCCTACGTAATTTTATTCTCTGCCCAAAATCAAGATGATGGTTTACTTTCAGGATTTCCTTACCACACACCATCAAGTGGGTAGGTGCACCAAACGCACCACAAGCATTAAATGCCTGATAATTGATTCTGGACAATTGCAGTGTGGCATTTAAATAAAATTTAAGAGGATTTCTCAGACTGTGATTAGTGGCCTTGCTGTAGCCCACAAGGGCCTGTTACATCAGACTCGTTTCTGCTGACCAGGAGCACTTCGCTGTAGAGGTCCACATGCATATCACTTTCATGAGCATGGCATGCACAGGCCAACAAGAAATCTCCTTTGGGTCTGAGTTATTACTTTCCTACTGAGACAAGTCCACGACACACACCAGGCAATTTGGTAAATCCTGTAAGGAGCTGAGGACATCCAAAGTGTCAATGAGCATTAGATGGCTTGTGATTTTGTTGCTAACAATTTGCTTGGCTTTCTAAGCAAAACTTCTTGAGAGGCAGGTTCTATGACCAGTGCAGGAGATAGATAGCACAAAGCCATTTCAAATGAGTGCATGAGGAAAAAGATCCAGACTAACACTTCCTTAGTGCTCACAGGACTTGAGCCAGAGCTCTTTCTGGTACCTTAAGAGTTGAAGTAAGCTGAAATCTTAGTTGCTAAGGGAAATAAAAGGTGCTGTTCCAAACCAGCCCAAAAAGAGTGGAATTTTCTGAAATGAAAGCATGTTTACAACTGTAGCTCACTTGAGGCCAGGGAAGCTGGGTCTCCTCCTGGGTCCCATCGCATTCGTAGATCTGTCTTTTACCTTGTGTGTAAATGAAGACCGTTACTGGTTATGGCTCTTGGACCACTTTTTGCTGTCACGGGCACTCGGTGTCTGGTTCCACCTTCCTCGGTGGCTCTGGTGCCCTCATGAATGCTGGATCCCAGCTCACGGAGAGCCAGAGACCTGCTCCTCCCCGGCACTCTTTGCTCCCATCGTCAGCCAAGACTCTCTTTTGTGCTGCTGACTGAAGTATAAATTAAATCCCAGCAGCTTTCAGTGGCACTGCTGCTAGTTGAACTCTGTGAATTGGTTGCTAGCCGCCTTCTTTGTAGGTCAGACCCTTAGAGCGAAATTACGTTAACGTTTAAAAACAAAGCCAGGAGCATTCCCTTTTGCTGCAGTGCGCAACTTATGAGCATCCACGTGTACTGTGTCCTCTTCTGGCTGCACAGACTCCAGCTTAACATATACGTTTCATTTGCAGGAAACGACTCCATTTTTCATGATATCGACAGTGATACCTCTTTAACTAGCTTGAGCGACTGTTTTCTTGCCTCTTCTGAAGTTAACTCCATGCAGGCTAGAGTAGGAAACCCCATTGACAGGCTGTACTCTATGCAGAGCTCATATTTCGCCTCATGAAAATAAAAGAAAACAAGCAGCCGGCGTATATTTAGCCAGTGACTTTTTCCAGTGCAGACTCTACAGCCATATGTTGCCCAGCTCTTCCTTCACAGTGACTCCTGCTGCCTCTGGACTGCAAAGAGTATTTTTAGGAAGACTGTATCTGTGTGCATATATGTGTATGTATGTATATATATATTAATACCTGCCTACATACATACATATATGTATAAACAAAACACATCCACCAGTCCCATACCCTTGATTCCCAGCTTGCACCAGACCACGAGACAAGCACGGAAGGAACAGAAGACCCTGCTCGTCAGCAACCTTTGGTTTGGTTTGGTTTGAGCTCATCGTTGTAAAGGAAATGGATTTTGCGGAAAGCTAGACCTTTTCCTCCTTTCTCTCTTCCTTTCTTTTGGATGTTTAAACATTTTTTTTTAAAGCCACCGATACTGACATCAGTCGACCATATGACAAATAAATGAAAGAAACTGGAGATTCCTCCCTTTTCTTCCTGCATGATTCATACTATGTTGTGGATAAATTGCCATTTGAACTGTGAGAAGTTAATGTAAATGTGACGTTCAACATTTGTTTCCTTTCTACACTTTTTCTACATAACCTAGATCTGCTCATTAGTTTATAGCCCTTATGCATATGATACTGAGGAAACTGGTTAACAGTAATATTTGTGGAGAAAGCCAGTGATTTCATAAGAAAGGTCTATGACCCTGGAAAGGAGATGCATGTTAGGGACAGAGGCATTTAGGTTAGTATTGATCTTAAATAATTAAAACTAAAGGTGCTTATAAGACAGAGTTTTATTTAATTTTTTTTTGAAGTGTGAGAATAAAACATTTACATTTGTTTGTAAGTATTGCAGTGCCAAATTTCAAGTCTAGACCATGACTGGCAAACATGTGTTGTTCATTCTGTTCTGTTTATTTATGTTTTGCACGAGGCATAAATGTGCTATGCTCCATTGTCCATCTGGAATAATTAAGCACTCCTTTAGTTAATTATCTTGCCTCAGCAAGATTCTATGATATACAGTTCTAGCTTGAACCACCAGAAGTCCTGAAATGTGCACCAACTGGGGGAAAAAAAGTATGAAAGATCACTATGGGAGGTTTAGATATGTTGAGCTGGAGTCCAACCTAAGTCCTGCAGGTTTCACACTGACGGGACTCCTGTATTTACATTAAATACTCCAACTAACCTATTAGTGCAAATGTAAGAAGAACAAATACACAGATTGAAGGGAATGTCCCAGCTGAAGTCTGAATGTCTCAGATGCTGAAGTTTGAGCATATGTCATATAGGTTTTCGTAGGGCATAAAATATCATAAATAATAATAGTATAGTTATAAATATTGCCTGGTGATAATTATAATGTGGAGAGGCAGACAAGTACGGTCATGGCTCTTAGTGGAGAAAACTTCATGGGGAAAATTTGCCAGGGTAATATCAGTAATTATAGGGTGTGTTCAAAATAGAGCTCATGGGGAAAGATTGGCAGGATAGGTACTTTCTTAAATAAATACCTTTAATATATTGACCCTAATAGCCCAAAACAAGTCCAAAGTGTTGGTTAATCCAACTCCTCCAGGCTGAGGACTGGTACCAGGCCAGTGCTGCAGAGTCTCCCGTGGGGCTTAGCACCTTCTGCAGGACCACGGGACTCTCTGGGACTCCGGTTGTGGCAGGGGGCAGAGCGGGGCCCCCACAGCCTCAGCAGCTGGGGAGAGAGCAGCTCCACTGAGTGCCCAGGGCACCACGGCCACAGCAGAGGGGGTCCTGCTGGGAAGCCCCACAGACAGCTGCCAGCCCCTTTGCTGACAGAGAAAGATCCTCCTTGTGTCTCGGGAGGGGTGGATGGCGAGGACTGGATAATAGGTCCAAGGGAAAAAATAAGATCACATTCCTCCCCAGCGTGGAAACGTGGACCAAGCATGTTAAAGGTTTCTTGAGAAAGTAAAGTTTTATCTGCAAGATAAGTGCATGCATTTTTCACTCTGTGGAGACGAGGAAAGCACTGGGGGAGAAGACTATGTGTGTGCAGTGCAGGAGAGCAAAGCGCAGACCCGAGGCAAACCCTTCTTGCTGCTGTGTGGTGGCAGACCTGCCATCTGCCGCACACACAGCCCTTCGCGAGCAAAGGGACCGATGTCTCTCCAAGGATGTCAGAGTGACACTCCCCTCCCTGCAGGTTCCCATCTCCTCCCTCCACAGCAGCAGTCCAAACTGCTGGCTGCCATGCCCAGGGAGATGGGTCCATCGCACCCATATGCTTTTACTAGCAACCATTCTCTCGCTTTCTGACAGGGATGTGGATTTTCAGTTGAAGGTTGTGAGCCCCTGGATATGTTTTGAAATTGGAAGAATTTTCTTTTGTTACCCATCCCTTTCAATTATTTTTCATTTTCCTTGTGTATCAAAATAAATAACAATTTCCTCTCTCTCTGCATGATAGCAAACATCTATAAAGAACTCAGGTGATCCTCACTGCTTGCAGGGCAGAAGGCAAGCAGATTTCATATGGCACATTATAAACATTTGTCACCACTGATCTCAATGGATTCATCAAGTTTTCCTCCCCACCCTTCTGCTGTGCTACTTTAAAGTCATAGAAAAAGATCTTCACCATCTCAAACATACCGGGTTTATAGACTACACATAGACACAACCTTGCTTCATCCCTCATTACTGGCAGGATCAAAATGGCATTTTTCGTGTTTACAGGGACTTTTATGAGAATTATAATGTGACCTACAGTTTGGAGAACTGCCTTGTCCCAATTCTACCTCTGCTTCTGGGCTGGATGTTGAAAAAACAGCCCATTTCCAAGAAAAGAATCAGATATCCCATTTTATAGCTGAAGTAACCATAATCTTCTGCTGATTTTTTGGATGACCTTTTTTTTTTCCCCCTTTTCATTGCTTGTACATACCATCTCCTCGTCCCTTGGTGTGTTGTATGATGATGCCTTAGCTGTTTGTTCCCACATATTATACCATCTCTGGTGCCATGTGCACGACACAGTCAAGCCCTCTGGCATGCGTAACATTTCCCATGCCACTGTGGGTTGCTGCTGGTCAAGGGAAGGAATGCATAGCCAATGATTTCCAGTGGACCCGTTATATCTGGCAAAGGCCAAAGTTTATTAAAGCAAAATAAATGTCACTTTTTTTTTGTGGAATGAATTACCCTACTGGAGTGTGATCATTGTGGTTTTAACCTGGGACCTGCAGTAAAAGATTATATAGCAACCTCTGACCTTTTTGATTTCTGCTTTACTCTTCTATTGTCAAGGGAATGTCACCGATCAGGTGAAAGTAAAATGTTTAATAGGCCATATCACAGTAATATCTTACACTGAGTCAAATTGATAAACTCTTGCCAAAAATTCTTAGCATCTGGCACTTCCACGGAAACCACAAACAATGATTGCACATATGGGAGCTTGAAGGCTAGAGGTCATGACAGCAGTTTATTACATGCACCTTACAGTGATCATTTTCCCTAGGAAATTAACCCCTCTCTAATATAAATGCATCAAGTGAGCTCTTCACGGTGTTTCAATCACGTTGTTTTGGCTAAGCAAGGAATACATGTTAAGCTAAAGTGGTGACAAGATGCAATTAAGTAAAAGATGATTGATTAGGTTTCAGTGTTTGCTCAATAATGTTTAAAAAAGATGATTGTGAGACCAGAATGAATATGCTAGGTACTAGCTTCCTCAGAGGTCTTTATTGTGCAGTTACCAGATCTGTAATGGTGGCACATAGAGATTTCCCAGCGTTCAGAAATGGTTACGGAGCAGTGTGGCCCTTGATCCCACTGCTGGGCTCTCAGCTGGGCTTCAGCATGTTTCCATTGCATGGCTGACTGTCGAGGGGATGATTCCTACCGTGCACTGCTGTTCTCAGCCCCCTGTTTACCACAGCACTATGGATTAAACCCTGTATCATAAGCAGTTAGGTGCCGGTGGTAAATGTGTTTCACAGTCACGACATGGAAGACAATTGTGTTGCTGTAAGTAAAGCATGGTGGTTGCAATCACTAAGATTGAAACACCATCCTAGGCATTTTGATCTCCTTTTCTTTAAACTCTTGTCATCAAAAACATCCAGATCACTTGGCTCAGTTGCTGCTAACCATGCCTGAGATGTGACTCACGTGAGTCTCACGATGGCTGCTGAGTGGATTTTTCAGACCCACGCTGCACAAGTCGGATGAGTATTACCAGGTCCTTTGAAGGGGTCATTGCCGCTCTGTCAGCAGCAACTCAGCCACCTCGCTGCGCCCTCATTGCATGGAGAAGGTTCTTCATGCTGGCAAACCTTCCAGGAATGATGTGAACCCACTTACCTCTTCCTACTGTGCTCAGGGCTCCCTTCCGGTTTCCTTAAGGATCAGAAGTATGTCCCAAGCCACCGCCCCAGGTGCCCCAGGGAACCCGGCTCTGTGATGCTGCTAGGGACGCTGCTGGGGTTTGTGAGCGTGCCTCCTTGAACTGTGTCATAATAATTCTGGTTGTCCCTAAAAGTCACTAGAAATTAACAGCAGAATCCAGGAGGAAGGGAAGGGTTCTTACAAGCCTGGAGCTTGGTCACAACAGTGAAAGGACAGAGAGGCTACTGAAGCACGTCAAAGCCATGGGAGCTGGAGCCACAGTACCCAAAGTCTCAAGTGCTCAGGTTAGTGCTTTACACAATCCCATGCCCAAACCACGTCATGCATTTCTGAACAGCAGATGCTCCCTGTGTGCACAGGTCCATCTCCAGCCCACCCTCCTCACCCTGGTGGCATGGGACAGCCAACAGCTGCACCCACAGCAGCATGGCCAGGGCTTCAGATGTCTGTTCTCTCTGGCTACGGGGTACTTGGGTACTTGGGCGCTTGCTTACCTCTTGGCCGGTACCTGAAGTCTTTTGGCTTTGGTGGGATTTAAGCGCGGTCTTGCTCATTTGAGGCCTATCTGAATAAACTGACAACAATTTGCCCTCTGCAAGGATGCAGCCTGGGTCCCCTTGGTGCTGCACACCCTGTTTCTGCTCAGCAGTGACTGTGAAGGGACTGTCAGATACTTTGCATTGGGAACTCTGTTTTTAAGTGAACACCCTATTTTTTAGCTGTGTATGGCTGTATTACTTGTATATTTATATATTCTGTATTTATGTTATCGAAATGTAGTATTTTGTAGTTGTCTGTTACAATTTGTTTAACTTGTAAAAAATATGACTACGCTCTCTCATACTTAACCATCTGCCTCTCACCGTAGATTCTCTGCTCCTTTCCCTCTGTGTTGGTAACAAACCACCATAATGTATGTAGATCGGATTTTTTTTTTTAATTTAATTACTTGTCATTGTTAAATTATTTATTAGTGTTTTTAAATTTC